CTGTGCAAGTTCCCTTCAGAGAGGAAGGGAGGTTTCCAGAAAACCCGAGTAAAAAGAGAAGGCCTAGAAACCTGACTGTACACGTTCGGGGATACGGGAGCCATAGAGATAAAAAGGGATGATCGGAGATAACAGAGCGTCTAGTGAAAGTAATTTGGCGAGTTTTTGGTACTTGAAAATTTAAACCCATGCTGGTGGCCCAAGTGGAAACACGGTCGACCGCATGCTGAGAGAAAACCCTGCAAAAAGGGTGACAGTCAGCCCCTGCACAAGCAATAGCGAAGTCATAAACATAGAGTGATGACCAAATATTGGGTGGAAGAACAGGGGCCAAATCATTTATAGCAAGGAGAAAAAGTGTTGTGCTTAGAACACATCCCTGAGGGACACCTTTCAGCTTGGACGAAGCCCCGGGGAAAGAACTTTATTGACTCGAACACTGAAATGTCTGTCAGTTAAAAAGTTCTTAAGGAAGGATGGTAGATTGCCTCGGAGGCCTGAGGAATGGGCCTGGGCCAAAATATTATACCTCCAAGTTGTGTCATATGCCTTCTCAGGGTCAAAAAATATGGCAATAACTGAGTGATATTTCGCAAAGGCATTACGAACATACGTATCCAAGCGTAGTAAGGGGTCTATGGTAGAACGACCCTTACGAAAGCCATATTGACTATCGGAGAGACTGTTGTGTGTCTCTAAATACCACATTAAACGTCGATTTACGAGACGTTCCATCACTTTGCAAACTGCACGGGTAAGAGCGATGGGGCGATAGGGGGAGGCATCATGTCCTGTAGTACCCGGTTTGCGGAAAGGGAGAACAATGGCAGATTTCCACAGCTGGGAAGAACTCCTTGTGCCCAAATAAGATTGAAGAGGTGTAAGAGGACTACAAGGGCTGACCGATTAAATGTTGTAACATACGAAAAAGAATGCGTCAGGCCCAGCTGCCCGATGATCGGCAAGCTGAGAGCGGGGCCTCCAGTTCTTGAAGTGTAAAAGGCACATTATACTGTTCTTCTCTGAGAGAAGAAAAGTCCAAGGGTACAACTCTCTGGCAGACTTTGAGGAAAGAAACGAGGGGCATAGATGGAGCCCTTGGGAAATACGGACCAGAATGTGTGCCAAGTTCAATGGCAACGTCGAGAGGGTTTGCTACATCAACACCAGCGACCCGTAGGAAAAAGGGGCCGGGTCAGGGAGGATTTACCCCTCAATTTCCTCCCCTTTTTTCCAGACTGCACTCATAGAAGAAGCAAGGTGATGGTGGAAAAAATAGTCTTGCCCAAAAAGTGCATTTAGCTTCATGGATGACACGGCGAGCGATCGCACGTTTCTGCTTAAAATCAAGAATCTCTCAGTGGTTCTATTTACCGGCCCCTCCCCCCATGCAGCGCGTTTAAAATACTGCACGGCAAAAAGCAGGAGACCCCCAAGGCACGCACTTCTGAAATGCCTGCCTGGGGTTTTTGGGGTATAGAATGAGAAGCTGCTTTATAAACTACGTCGAAAAGGTGTAGGAGCTCATCAATGGAGGATGAAAAAAGGGAACCAACTAAAAGCAGTGAGGTGTGAGAAAAGACCCAATTTCCCCGGCCCCAAATTTGCCAGCGAGGGCTAGGGAAAAGGTGGGAATAGGAAGGAGAAGTAAAAATGTTTGGGAAAAAAAGATCGCTGTCATGTAAGCCGGGGTAGAACAGACCAGTGAAGTCAGGCAGTGGAGGAAGAGCAACTGATAAATTGTGCAAGAAAGTTGATACGAGGATCAAAGGGGTGGGAGTCCCCCTATTTAAAACATGGAGGGGGGAGAGGTGAGAAAAGCCCCCAAGGATGTCACGTGGTCACAATGAGCCCCCCCCAAGGGGAAAGGTGGGCTTTAAAAATACCAAGAAACAGAAGTGGTGGGGTAAGGATGAACAAAAGGGAAAATCGGGAAGAAAATGCCGAGAAGGAGAAGGATATAAATAAAAAAAAAAAAAAAGAACATATTGTAAACCCTTATTCAAGTGGATAGGGCTCAGTGTAATGCAGTGAGGTATGGACAGATGTCGACGACGGAATACATTGCGAGAAGGGCACTTTCATTAAAGGCCCATCGAAAAAGGGACCCGAAAAAATACTTAAATTGTGTCTCAATCTTCAATTTGTGGGTTTTTTCAAACCCATTCTCACAAAAAAATTATAGCCTGAATAGGTTGGAAAACAGTCGAGTGAATTTTGGTTCTTGAAGAAAAACACCAACGGGGGAAAACCGGGGAAAGCAACATCTGAAGCCCCCCCCGATTACCCCTGAGGCCCGGATATTCCACTGAAAAAGGGCCATTTTGGGCGATGAAAAAAATTTCCCAGAATCCGTGGGGAAAAGGCCCCTAGGGGACTAAGGGGTAAAAAAATCAACGGGGGTTTGGCTTTGGGAAATTTTTTCAAGCGTGAAGGAACGGAGCGTTGCAAGAAGGGGGTTGTGAAGTGGGGGAGAGGGGAAAAGGAACGGAAGTGAACAGTGCCCATTGAAGGTTTAGTCCGCAATTTTCTGAAATGGTTAAAGTTTTTTCTGAATTCAAAGATGGATGGGAACCATATTGGAGATAGAAGGAGGGGTGAGAAAATTGGGACAGTAATGGACTTCCCAAAGAGGGGGGAGGGAAGAGTAAGGGCGGAATGAAGTGGGGGGGGAAAAGAAGGCAAAAAACCTGGGAGGGGCAGAAGAGGGAAAATTTGGGGAGGGGAGGGGGGGGAAAGGGCATAGTCGGGGAGGGGGGGTGAACCCCACACTTTCATGAGCCAGAGGGGGGGAAGAACGGGAAGAGACGGAAAAGGAAAAGGGGGAGGGGAAAAAGGGGAAGGGGGGGGCAAAAAAATTTTGAGCATGTGGATTTTTTTGGACTTTTTGAGAAGTAGGGGGGCATTGGTTTTTGGTGTCGTACGAGGGTCTTGTCGATACTGGGGCTTGTGAGGAAGGAGCGAAGAGGAGAACAGACGATTTGTAGTCGGGACGTCAGACCCCAAGGACAGCAAAAGGGATTAGATCCCGGAGGGGCTAGGAGGGTAACAACAGAGGGGGCTCAAAAGATGGGCCCCAGAATGGGGGAGTTTTAAAACACAGAATAAAAACCGGGGTGTCTCCCTTGGGGGCGGGAAAAGTAACTGCCATAGCAAAAAAGGGCCTTTTCTTTGAGGCAATGGATTTCACGTCCATTTTGTAGCCTGGGAATGGCGGGAGTACAAGGGGGAGCTTCTTTTCAATTTAAGGCAAAATGGAGGGTTTACGCAAGATGTATTAGAATGGCGTCGGGACCATAGAGGGATTCGGGCATAGATCTGCAATATTTTACTGGGGGACCAAAACGCCCGCAAATTTTTCACTGTTTCGGTGTAGGACACCCTTTTGAAATTTTAACCCATTCCTGGACATATACAAGGACAGGAGTTCTCGGGGTGTCAAAAGTTAAACGAGCCCTTGAAGGGTAACATCTCCGCCCAGGGGCAGGAAGGGGCATAAGTGTCTATTTAAGGGTTGGGGGAAACCTGGAGTTCCAGCTTTCAAAATGTTATTGCCACTGACTGGAAATTCTTTTTGGCTATGGTATGGGGGAAATGACTACCCCACAAAATTAGAGAAAGATTTTTTCAATAGTGATGGGAAAAATCGATATTCGAAAGGAGAGAAAGATCATAGCTTTGGGGAGCATTTGGACAGGATATGCACTACCCCTCTTGAGACATGAAATGAAAAATCTCTACCAACAGACGCAGGGGGGGCCCCTTTGCCAAACTGGTCAGAAAGGTAGGCAGAAGAAGAAGTCGGTCTAAAGAATTTAGTCCATTGTGTGGTCCCAAAAGACGGGAAGGGATGCTTGATGTGTCGGTCTTTTCCCGGGAAATGGGAAGGGAACGAAGGACATTCAGGAGATTTACGTTGGCGTTTAGGAGCGGACCGGGTTGGTCCCGCGTGAAATGGGGGGGCGATTCAAAAAATTTTCCGTACCGTAGAGGGGGAACCCCGGGAACAAGTCAAGGAGAGCGGGGTTTTGACAAACGAAAGGGGTCTCGAACCCCTACCTGAACGGGTGAGGGAAAAAGCACCCGCAAAGGGACAGGGGCATCAGGAGTTCCGAAGAGTGGGCTAAACCAAGGAGGGTCAAATGGGGGGGGGTATCAAGAAGGGGCCCGGGGTATGGGTTTTATGGATTGGGTTCCCATGGTTTTGGTTCCCCTTTTCTTTTTTTTTTTAAGAAAAAAAAAGAAAAAAGAAAATAAAATAAAAATAAAAGAATAAAAAAAGGGGGGGCAGGGAAAGGAAATAGTTCCCAGGAGGAATGAAAGGGCCCGGAAATCTCCCTCCGCGCCCAAGAGGACCTCAGCACCGCTAGTGCGCAGTTGCAGCATGGAACCCGTGCCATACCCTACCCTTCATGCCAGTAAACCAGCAACCCGGGGATAGCAACCTCACATCTGCTGAGCTACCTCGGGGGAA